GCAGGGACAGCGTTGAAAGGTGTTTTCGGCCATCAGCTGACGCTCAGCTGATCATCGGACAACGGCTTGTCTGTGCGTCACCGGACGACGAAAAAGCGCATCTTCTCGACGGTGAGGGTAGGAATGGTGTCAACGCGAATGCGACCATTTCTGTACCGTTCTCGAGTTTTTCGCTCGACTTGACAGGAGCCTGGCGCCTCATGAGTAGTCTGTAACAGTTTGGCTGAACGCCGCTTTGAGGCGAGTTTCTTCGCACATGCAAACAGATAGTACGGCCTAACAACATGGCGAGACTGGCACCAAATCAATTCTTCTCTAAAGCATCCACCCACCCACCCAACCCCCAACCCCCAACCCCCAACCCCCACTTCCACCCCCACCCCCCCGCTTAAGTCGGCTCGAGTGTGCACTAGACCCGGTCTGTAGTCACGTTTTGATCAATCAGCAGCAGTTGTTGCTCGTAGAAAAAGTGCTGAACTTCTAGACTCTGGCGCCGGTTGGCGGATAAAGGGGGCTGGGGCTTGGCAGTTGGGTGGTTGTACTAATTGTGCCGGTTGCGGTGGTGACGGTGGCGGTATCGGCAACATTTGCACCACTTGAAGAATGCACAACTGCTGGCTTCACTGACTGGGTGTAGACGTTGTGAGAGGGCGAGAAACATGTGCCTCGCGGCTGGTCAGAACACACGCGCCCCAGCCGATTTCACATGACCCATGCTGTACACACAAGCCAGCAGCTCAATTCCATAGGCCTGGGGCCGACAGGGCTGAGTGTGAGACTGCGGCCAGACGGTGAGATGCCGAGAAAGACGGCAGTCGGTGACTCGGGACTCGGACTCGTCGGCCGTCCGAGACGCCGTCGGGCGGAGCGACTCGAGCTGAGGCCAGTAACGGTCCGGCCGGAGACGAGGCAGGCTGAGGTCGGCTGCTGACAGCGGCGACTCAAATCGCAACGTAACTGGCCATTAGAACGGCCTTAGTTGCCAGTAGGGACTCAAAGTCACTACTTTATGAGATGGGCTCAAATGAGCAGCTTTCACGTATGCAGGGGGACGAGAAAAGGCTCGAGTGGAGCCGGAATTCTGTACCGACGAATTCGATATTTTAGACAAATTGAGCATGCCGGTCCCAGATGACGGGTATTAGAAAATGAGGCTGGTGAGCAGCAGTGGATAGAGAGTAATTTCTAAAAACGATCTCAGAAAATGATGATAAAGGTCAGTAAAGGCATCAGCCTCGAGCAGTTTAAACAAAAGATGCAGTTCAAATCGCACGTTAGGAAAAAGCCAAATCAGTAAGGAGGTCGTTCAGAAAAATAAAACTAAACGATCGAGCATAAAAAGATAAAGAGTGAAAAAAGGGAAGGATGGAGAAATATATTATAATAAATGGCATGTAAGGGCGAAAGGAAAAACAGGCAAAAAGAATAGAAAGAGAAAAGGGAAACAGAGAAAGAATCATGAAAAAAGAAAGAGAAATTGAATAAAAGAAAATAAATGAAATGAAGTCAAGATTAAGTCGAATAAAGTAGAGAAGATATATTTCTAAAAATTTAAACTCATGTCAAGTAAACTTAACATATAACATCTCATAGAACCTAAACTCAAAATCGAATCACAAATCATGATAATGTAAGGGATATCATTTAAAGTCAAGTCATAGCAACTAATCGCATTGAATCTCATCGGATATCTGATAAATTCACTTCAACACATCATATTTCATCTCAAATCAGCTCATCTCGTCTTTTCTTATATCATCTCATCTCATCTCATCTCATCTCATCTCATCTCATCTCATCTCAT